CGTCGAGAACATGATGCGTTTCGGTTGCGAAATGAGGGCGAAGTTGTGGAAGCGACCGAACACGATCCGTGGCACTCGAATGTCGTTGCTAAGCACGTCGTTGAAATAACGCTCGATGGCCAGTTTGATCATGCGAGCAAACCTTGCCAGTGTCTTGTTGCTGACCGTAGGCACCTTCTGCCACACCTTGACCGCGGACAGCGTCGAGGTCACTCTGAGCCGGTTCTGGACCACCGCCATGTTGACCACCGCCGTGAAGCGCAGGTCGCCGACGAACGCCTTTTCGTACTTGCCGTTCTTCAGGGCGAACACGTAAATCCTTACGTCGGGAGTCACGACTAGGCCGTACGGCGAGATGAACAATCTGGGAGGCCCGAGGACGAACGCTTTGATGTGAGCCATCTGCGGAGGATACTTCGCGGCAATCTCGGGGAGTGCCGCGCCTATGCACTCGTTGTCTTCGCACGTGGTCGAAAGAACGTAGCGGATGTCCGGTGATTTGATGTGGTCACCGTCAAGCGTTATGTTGAAGTAGCCTTCACGGTACAGATGATATAGCAGCGTCTTCGCCGTGTATTCCGTCACTGTCAAGTAGAACATCTTGTTGTAGTTCTCGTAATACGGCGGCAGGCTGTCCGCAGCAAACGGTGCCGCTGTAGAACCGATGAACAGCACCTCTCCTTTGAGCGGTACCTCGAGCAGCGTTGTCACTGGGTACTGTTTCACTCGTGGGTCAGAAACCATGCTGAAGTCGAACACCAGCTGTTTGACCATATGGATCATATCTCTGGTGAAGCTGTCAGGGTCCAGTTGGAAGTACTTCGGCGCAGCTCTGACAGGTCGACTCAGACGGGGCATCAGATCGGCGATCTTGATCTGTGTCAAGTAGCGGTTGACAAACTTAGTTAACTTGGCACTGCCGGTCTTTCGTATGGTGTCGCACGCATCGCCGGTGATTAGCGACTTGATCTGATCCCTGATCCATCCCTTTGCGAAGCCGCCGAATTTTTTCGCTCCCTCGCTGTTGACCTGTTTCACCAACGCCCTCTTCGCCGACATCTCGCACACCGGGATGTCGACGATGGCTCGGTGATTTGGTGCCACCCGAATACGTAAATCGACGGTCATCTCGAAGTCGTCCATCGAGATGGCGAAACGGGCAGCCGGTAGATTACCGTAGATCGTTTTCAGGGTCACCAAAAGCAACGCGTTCATGCCCTGCACAAGCAGCCGTGCCTGATTCTGTGCATTTGGCGTCAGAAAGAACCGAAACACTCTCGGGGGCGAGTATTCGCTTACAGACAGATCCGTAAACTCGTACCGTACACCCATGCGACTGAAAGTGGCCACCTTCTCGATTTCCAACCGGTTCATGCGGCGTCGCATCACGTCCGCCAGGGTGTCCTTCATGCTGGCCAGTCCGTAGTTTGTTACGGCCAAGTACATGCCGGCGGACGAAGAGTTGTACGGTAGTTGGACGGCGGTCGAGAACACCGGTAGACGGGGCCGAGGGTACCAGTGGCGTTGGCCGATGCCAAAAACGAATCGCAGCAGCCATACGCAGATGGTAGCTGTGCGACAAAGCTTCATCGCCGTAACACGGCAGGTGACTTTACCTTACAGGAACCGTAGGAACCGGTAACGATGACGGCAAAACGAGAAGACGGTGCAAGAGAGATGAAGACGGATCAAACCATGGACTTAAAACGAGACCTGTTGCAGGCGCTTTTTCTGTCTGATGACCGAGCCGACCGACACTCGACGCCGCACGTTGCCTAAACCCGGCCTTTCGAGCCGTATTCGTTCTCGCGTGTGCTTTTCCCGCAAAACAGAGAAAATCAGCGATCCGCAGTCGCGTAGCCAGTTCCCCAAACTGAGCTTCGAGTGGTGCTCTGATTTTGAGGCAGGCTGCGATGGTTTTGCTTCGAAGCTGGATTTGTTAAATTGAACCACTTTCCCCTCTTTTTAAGAGCCTTTTCTTTCCATCGTAAGTAACGCGCTTTACTTCAGCAAATGGCGTAGACTGTGTGATTTGGGTCACCGGTTGCTTCGCTCGTCATTCTTCTTTTACCTACCGAGAGGCGATCGCCACGCGACGA